TAACACTGACTGTGGTGCCTCTACTGCCGGGACTACAGGTTAGTCTTAGTTAGACTACTAGCTTAAGTTGTTCACTGCGGCATACATCAAACAGGCACACGCCAATGGCGGCAACAATCATCAAATCAGTGAACGCATTTGTCATTCAAATATTTCAGTCTGACGAGTCCCAAAAGAGCAGCGGGGATTGTGCTGCTTTACCCCAAGAGCAGACATAGTTCACTGAAATACCCAAGGGTAGCAGCACTGACTGGATCCGTAGCCAGTGTCTATGTAATGTGGCTCAAAGAGAGAAAATCCGGGAAACCAGGATAAAACATTGTCAGGTGGTATTTTACGGGAAATTTTGGTACCAACCTACACTAAAATAAAGCTCGCATTCTAGCTACAGGCTGGCAACGATTATAAGGTTCCGCGTCAATATCTGAGCTCACACTGACTGTTCAAAGTTAAATCATGGGAACAGCCGATTACGACCGTGCAGCACCTGGCACTCAGCCGGCACCGGCCTATTTTTACTGCTCCGCAGCGAACGTGTTAACAGGGTCTAACGCACAAAGAACACAAAATTTAACACTGATATTCCGTCCTAAGGTCTTCTTCAGAGGTCGAAAAGAATAGTTCATAACTGGAGTGATCTTCATAATATTAGTAGAGCTTTGTAAAAATGTAAATTTGTTATATATTTGACCCTAAAAAACAATACTTAGGTAAAAAAAATAAATATATTTGAGATCATTAACAGGTTTTATACATACTTTTTCTACAAGAAAATTCCTTTTCCTACAGTTACCTAACAATGTACATGTTCTCTCACTGATTTGAGAAAGCAAAGTGGCCAATTCGCTCACCAGTGAGACAATGTTAACATTGTCTCACTCTAATTACTTTGTCTCACTCCAGATTTGCAACGTGAAGGCACGAAATAGTGAGCGCGTAGCATGCAGGCAACGTCGTATGCGCGCGAAATACGTTGGCAGCACTGGCTGTAAATCAGCTGGTCAGCTGTTGTACTGTTGTATTTGTCACTTCACATTAAATGTTATATTAAAAGTTCACTTCTGTGTAAAAATAGGTTATGTTTCTTCACAAATGTTTTTGTTTTATGGTAACTGTAGGAAAAGTATAATGTGCAACTCGAGTTCAAAGTACAATTGCCTCACTCGAGAAACCATTCCTCACTCGCCTACGGCTCGTGAGTAAGGATTTCTCTCGAGTGAGTCAATTGCTCACTTTTCTCACTAGTTGCACAAATAACTATTTTTAACCGACTTCCCCAATACCAACAAAAGGAGGAGGTTCTCAATTTGTTTGTGGCGATGTTTTTTTTTTTTCTATGTATGTTCACCAATTTCTCTGTGATTCTTTTACCGATCAGTGTGGTTCCACCACCAAAATAACCAGGAGAGTTTCTATTTGGTACCTTATATATTATGTTTAAGTATAATATTTGTTTCGGTGAAAAATTCTGAAAACCTTAATTATTCAACATTTATTTTGTTTACATTTGTGCAGATTGTTTACATTTGTGCAGAGAAGGCAATAAATAATAATAACATTCTTACAGCTGTTAGTTGAAACCATTTAAATGAAGCTACAGACAATTCTTCATGAAACAGTTGCTTCATATTGATCAATAAACTATTTCTTGCCATGGAGCCTAAATGAATTACATTGAGAAAAATGCATTTTGTTTTGGATACTATAAAAAATGTATTTTAACGTTTGACCTGATTTGTGTATACAGTAATTCTGTTTTAAGTATTGAATATTCTGACTTACAAAAACATGTTTGTTTCAGTGAATAGCTGTATGATATTGACAAATAAAGGTGTATTGTGAAAACCAAAGCATTGGTAAAACAGGCCTAAATATAAATTAAATGCAATTATTCCTTACACGACCTAAGAAGTGACAGTGCATAATCGTCAATTGTCTTAAAAGTGTTAAATATTTTAATCAGTAAACATGCATTTGCAAATGTGGAATGTTTATTGATATTCTCTACCCAGTTACCATATCATATCAATATATTATGCCTGCTTCGGAAAGTCCTAGAGGAAGATGATTTGCAATTTCGACTAGGCTATATCTTGATCAAACAAAACCACCTACCGTACATGGCTTGCACCACTTTTAGCTGAACCAATCTTTCATATACATATTTCATTTGCAGATGTGGAATGTTTATTAATATTCTCTACCCAGTTACTATAACATATCAATACTATTATGCCTGCTTCGGAAAGTCCTAGAGGAAGATGATTTGCAATTTCGACTAGGCTATATCTTGATCAAACAAAACCCCCTACATGACTTACACCACTTTTAGCTGAACCAATATTTCATATAATATTTTCCAAAGGTACTATACGTGTTAACGACCAATTTTCCACTTTTGAGAGATTTTTAGTGCTGGTAGCTGAGGAATAACTTTCATATTGTTCCAAAAGGCTTGAGACGTTACTGTATTTCTTTTTATAATGTAGAAGTACACCGATTGCAAGAAACGATGATGTCTGACATTTCAATGTATCTAAAAAAGACAATTAGTTTTTCATTAGGCCTAATGTAATGGACAACTCTTTCTTTCTTAAGGAATATCTAAAAATGTGTATTTTCATACCCATTGATTATGTAACCTGAACAGGTGACTCAAGCAGTTTTAAAATAATGATTGTTCCGTGGAACGTTTGATTGTTTCAAACAGTTATGCTTATCAAAAAACTTCAAGTACATAAACAATTATACAGTCACTAAAAATCATGAAATAATTTATTTTTGTAAAAAAATACAACCGACTTCAAACGCTCTAAAAAGAATGAAATAATTTCAATAAAGTAAACTTTTGTATTAGGCAAGCTCATGTATTTCAAGTCGGCGCGGCTCAAACTGCAAATATGATTGAAATTAAATATTGTGTGTGTATTTTGAAAATCAATAAATTGTAGCTAGATAACATATAAAAAAACATACTGAACTGTTTTGTTTATATATTAAAGGAAATATTTTCTTGTATTTTATGTTTACTTCAGAATAAATGCATTATGAAAATAACACACACAAATGTTCTATATGAATAGGAAAATAATTTAGTTTGATATTATGATAGGGAAAAGAAGCTAGTTTAGTATTAAAACGTTACTTTTCCAAGTTAGAAACATTTAAATGCGTTATAATCTTTTTAAAGATACTCGTTAATACCACTATAATGCCGATCTCTGATTACGGTAATAAAATAACACTTAACGCATAACTATGAAAAATACATGCAGATTAACACCTTTAGTTATAGATAGTCACCTGCAATATGGACACCCTCTTTAAATTTTGTATCAAAAATCATCATAGAGCCGCGACGACTTAAAATACGTGAGCTTGCCTAATACAAAAGTTTACTTTATTGAAATTATTTCATTCTTTTTAGAGCGTTTGAAGTCGGTTGTATTTTTTTACAAAAATAAATTATCTAATTAAGACTCAAAAACAGCTAAGTAAAAAGACATGTTTTGCCCTTTTATTAGAATGAAGATTCTTATTAATTCTTAACACAAACATAACTAAAGTACAACCGTTGACTTTCTACACTGAAGTAGACATACAATCTACTGTATATGGTTTCAATTTTTTATATAATACTTAGTTAAGTGAACTAGTCACAGATTGCACTAGTGTCTAATATTCTATTTTCTCCCTTATTTTTGTTACTGAGTTAGTTGACGTGACCAACAATGAGAATCCTAAAACCAAGGCCCCAAGATGGTAATACATTTTTTTTATCAATAAACAACATCAATATTACTTCACTGTATAAATTTATGATAGGCCTAAAGTACCATTTTGTTACAGAATATTTCTGGTATTCGCTTGGTGGATACGTTCCTAAAGCGGACCTATGACTACGATGAGCTCGCTCAAGTTTACGTCACAGAAGGAGTCGGATTTGTTGCTGCGTAAAGATCACCTACTTACACATCCATTCCAGCAGTGTTATGATTGAAAAGCTTTACCGATTATTGTAAGAAAAAATAGCTGAGCTGTTGTTAATGTTTAATTTATATTAAATTATTATGATTTGTTATTTTTGCTGTTTTATTTTCCACACAAGGAATACATTTTCTGGCTTATTGTTAACAGCTAGAACACACATCATTAAAATAGTTTGTTGATAATTGACACAATGTTGCTAAATTTCTGTAGATTTCAACACATGTATAACATTGCCGTTACTGCTGTCAATGTATTAAGTAAGGTATTAACTTTTCTGCTGTATGATGTCCATCAGTTTTGTTTTAAACTATTTGTTACTCATTGCAGTTAAATATAACTGATACAGCGATAGTGATACAGTTGATACCTTGCACTTATTGTTGTTATTACATTAACAAATGTTAATCAAACATAAACATTACAGATCCAACCGTTACAAACATTACGCCTTCAATACATCTTATTGAAATGGATTGTGTAACCAATCCCTGTTACAACAGGTTAAAGCAAATACATGTATACTCACCAAATGACTGGGACGGGTGGCGTCGTCCTGTAATCCAGCTACTAGGAGGTCACGAATTGTGGATATTTATAGGCATGCACTGTGGATGCGATACTCCCTGGTGTGGATTAACGTCCGCACAAGTGATTACTACGACTATCCGCAGTACTATCCTGATAATTAGACCAAATCGTATATACCAAGGAAAAAATGTGGTTCGGATTCCTCTATAAACTGTAGGTCCCTTAGTTGCCATTAGCTGTATGGGCTATTAATTAACAGCTGTGTCTAAGGAATGTCGACCTTAGTCACTAACAAGACTACAAGATCGCGCCACTCATCCTACACTCATCTCCATTCATACTTGTCTTAAAATACCTACTATGTATGGTCGCCATTTCATTGAACAGTATTAACATGTACTTGTGTAGCAGTTATTACACATTTGTTACATTTAAAAATAAAGAGAATAATATAATTACCAGGAAGATAAAAGAACACAAGATAGAATAAATATCACATTTATTCAATTGTATAACACTATCAGTTAAATAAAAAACACAAAACTATAAGCTCTTGGTTCAACAACAAAAATCATGAATTCAAAACTAAACACACTTCTAACTAATCCTTTATAACTTTCCATGCAACAATGCAATATCGGATTTTGTACTTTTCAACAGTGATGAATAAAACGCAAGTTGGGTCTTGATGTGTCCATCAGAAAACCTCATAATCTAAAGAAAGCTATATTGCAATGTATTAACACTTTGTGGACACAAGTCAATCATAGAGTTTCATATTTGTAACACGATGAAACTATGTTCTTACCTAACCTAAACAACATATATTTGTATAGGGAAAATAACAAAACTAATTTAGTAATAGAATAGAATCCGCAAAAATTCCATTTGCTCTCTATTCTTATACTAAGATTCCGTTGTGCAACTCAAACTACCTATAAGGTGGTTTACTTTAGGAAAATAGGTGTTATCTAGTGCCAAGAGTTATAAACACAAAATATGATACAAGTGTATTACTAAACGTATTGGTTTTGTAATTTATGTGATATGTAATTTAACACATAGATAGGATTTACCCTTTTTATTTTTTTAAGATAAAGTATACTCTTATGAATACGTATTGAAAGTTGTACTGGGGTGTGACCTGATTGGTACCAAAATATCAATAAATATTATTTTTTAATTGTAGATAGTCAATAAACCACCATTGCATGAAGAAGATTATAACATACAAATCCTTCTCACTCTATTCAATTCTCTTGTTAAAACCCAATAACTGTGTCATATCTTTTGAAAATGCAAAAAAATCATTATTTTTTCATACAATATACATAATGGTTTTTGACATTTATTTTTGGCTCGTTATGTAAACCTAGTAATAATATTATAGGCCTACTTTAATAAAAAAATATAGTTGCATGGCACACTATTTCCATTATTCTTTCACTAAATACTACACATCTCAGGACATTTTTTGACAAGGTCTTACAAATGAATATGATTCATAAAAGAATCACATAATCACCAAACAATGTTGTTTGATAGTCAAAACCTATAAAATGCCCAACTTTATAGGTAAAGGTAATAGTAAAGAATTGCCGAAAGGTAAATGATAAATACATGATTCCTAAAGATAATAAACGCAAATCTGGCTGCCTACTAATGATTACTAAAATGCTAATCATATGCAAAAATACTACTAGTATGTGCTGGCTTGATGAGAGTTCAGTTTTATCATTCAATCATGCAAAGTACAGTTGTTCATTGCAGTAAAATTAATAGTTTACCTGAAGTGTAAATAGTTACAATCAATTTGTCTCAACAACTTATGGAACTTTTCAAAAAGGAAGGAGTGCTATCAATCCAAATTTAAAAAAATATTTTAAGTGTCCACTATAAATTTATTGGCTATTGAAAATAAATTCTCCAATGACTTCTTGTGAAATAACAATATCTTTCAGCTAATCTCTCACTTATTTTGTTTCAGATTGTCAAATGTTTATGTTTATTTTATATTCTTGAAACTAATACTAAATCTAATAAAGGCGGTTTTAGGGGAAGAAATCTATCCCCTCCACTTGACCACCACCTTTAAAATTATACATTAAATACAAAAAATTGTTGGGGGTGAATTACTATCAAACCACCTAAAAATAGTGAACAAAATATAAGAGTGTAGTTTACTGGTCAATTATTTAATTGAATTGAATTTATGCTTTAGGTTTTAGAACACATAAGAAAATTGCATTGAATAAGTCTGGCTAAATTTTACAGTGTAATGCAAGTATTTGTATTTGCAACTTAAAGCTTTATTCTAAGTCCAAGCTTATTTTTTTAGATTAGATTTAAATTGTTTTGTACATACAATAAAGTACCTGATGCATCGTTTTGGGGAGCTTAATTTTGATAAAAACTGGACTCGACAAGTTTGCAGCTCACAAAATTTTATAAGAGAACTCGACTTATAAATTCACTACTCGCACACCCCGAGATAATTAACGACAAATTTAAAAAAAGGACAGAATTTATAAAAAAATAATGAATCTAAGCCCTCAGCATGTCAATAAATCTACAACATAATATAGTGTACAAACACACTGTAAAGTGCCGAAGCAATTAAATTTTTAACTTAATATTTAGAAAAAAAGTAAGACAAATAATCATTTTAAAAACACAGGTTTTATTGTGCGTTTCTTAAATACACTAATAATTTTTCCTTGCATTTCTTACATCTTCTTAAATCTAAGAAACTTGAAACTTGAAATAAACTATCACAACTACAGATGAAAGACTTAAAGCAATTATTGACATTTTGTTTCCAAAATTGATCTTGACCCAAGTTCAAACAATATATATTGTCTCTTGTTATCATCAACAAATATTTTATCAAGGAAACAATGATACTCTTTGTCTCAACTCTTTGTAAGATGGTTATCACTATTACTAACACAACAAATCTTACCAAATCAGTAATCATTTTTCTAAAAGCATAAAATTGTTGAATTTTTTATTTGGTAAACATAATAATAAATTAAACCTTTTAATTAATGTGCAAGCCATTGGGCGGACAACAACTAACAATGCAAACAATAAATAAACTTCTAATACTTATAAACACTTTTTTATCACAATTTAAAAACTTGCATAGAAAATTATATCTATTTACCAAGTATCAACTTCAACTGAGTTTTTCTTTCCTTTCAACTGTATCGTCAACGGAGTTCCCACTCGGCAAGCTCCTCGTTGGACTAAAATCTTGCACTTTGTCTTCACTCTTCCGTTTCTTTAAAGCAAGACCCTCGTCTGGTTGTGAATTAGCTACGTTGTCTTCAGTGTCACTACAATCGTCCGCAAACTGACAAATTTCATTCACCGTTTCATTGAAAACTTCGCTCTTGTCTGCATAAACATGGTGACCAGCTCCCATGATGGTCTGAAAATAATTTTAAGTACAAATTTCTGTTGAATGTTTGATAGGAAAATTAAAAATTTTTAGAACAATTTACATTCAAGTGTTTTTAAGAGAAAAATACCATAAAAGATATGTCGCTGCTATGGTTGTATTGTGACTCAACTTATGGGCTCGAGAATATCTATTCTACTGTGAGCAGTTCAAACAGGGACTCAGGGCCAGATTTAGCATTTTGGCGCCACTAGGCCCAAATAATTTTCCGCCCCCTAGTCTGGTCACAGTTACTTTCCTTCAAACCTTTATTAAAAGCTATATTGTGCCCATAGGCCTATGTTAGTTGCTTGAATACCACTCCTCGGCAGAATTTTATCATTGCAAGTTTTTTTTTATTTACTTGTTTAACCTTAACAAAATGCTGTCTTAAACACTTTTAGGAATTTTATGCTTTTAGTAAATGCTCACGTTTGTGGGACTGAAACAAAACAACTCAACCGACCGAGCATTCTTGCAAAAACATGGCCATTGATTCCAATTTCAGGCCCAAAAACATTAACTCCAAACAGTACGTGATACCATAGATTAAACAAACTTCTTTAGTTATAGTTAGTTTTAGTGAATTGTCATCATTATGGATTAGCTGAAAACAATTCTTGTTATTTAAACCTAGTTTATCAAAAATAAAACGATCTAATCATAAACAATAGGTCGTCTCCTGGTTATATTACAAGAAATTAAAACACACATCATAGAACTAACCCTTAAATGATAGAAACAAAATTACGTCAAAACGTAATGAAAACTTGAAATGAAAACGTTTTCAGATTTCCAAGGCACCGTTTAACCCTTTATGAAAAAAGTATGCTATATGCTGGGCTGAGGCTGTACAATGTGCTGCCTGCAAACTATAAATTTTTAAGTGAAAATAATTTCAAAGATAAAATAGGTGAACTTTTAATTGACAGAGCTTTTATTCAATTGCAGATTTTCATTCAATTTTGTTAACTTACATCAACTTCTTGATTACTATTTTATTTTTTATATTCTGATAATTTAACTCTGACAATGCACCTATTCTGTATGTACCAACACATGTAAAGAATGTTATGTGCAAATAAAATATGTTTATGTCTATGGTGGTACAGCATCTAGGTTATATTTCCAAAGCAAAATAGAGCAATATTCCGGCCAACCATGATACCGATCCTTAGGTCTGAGGAGAAAATGACAGCATTAATGGTGCTTTGGGGGTATTAAATTGTCCTAAAACCTATTGCAAACTGAGATTAATATTTTTTTTTTAATTTTAGGTACATTCATAGTTTTTTTAATATTCAACACAACGTATCGTATATTTTAACTTGATACTGCAGATTGTTGTAAACTAATCAAAAGATTAGTTAATAACTTTTGTTTTGTGAGGTGAGGGTGGTAACAGAGTCTAGCACACATGTGCCCCTAATCACTCCGATCAGTAGCGCCGAGCTAGCAAAGTGGAAATACGATGCGTACCTCTCAGGCGCTCGTCAACATCCCTACAGCCTACCCGTATAACCAATGTTCGTAACCAAATTGATGCGTAATTCAGAAAAATAGTTAAAATTTTCTAACAATTATTATTTACTATGAACTTAAGAAATAGAATGCTTTATTAGTTAGAGTTAGAGTTTTTTTATCACCTATTTACTTTTATTTTTAGATATTTAAACAAATGTCCTCTCGTGCGCCCCTTGGGAGCTCGCGCCCATAGGCCGGGCCTATTGGGAAATCCGGTCCTGCAGGGACTATAATGTTCTACAGTCATAGGTTCAAACAAGGTCTATAATGATCTACAGTAATAGGTTCAAACAAGGTCTATAATGTTCTACAGTAATAGGTTCAAACAAGGTCTATAATGTTGGACAGTAATAGATTCAAACAAGATCTATAATGTTGGACAGTAATAGATTCAAACAAGGTCTATAATGTTGGACAGTAATAGATTCAAACAAGATCTATAATGCTCTACAGTAATAGGTTCAAACAAGGTCTATAATGTTCTACTGTAATAGGTTCAAACGATGTCTATAATGTTCTACAGTAATGTTCTATAATGTTCTACAGTAATAGGTTCAAACGATGTCTATAATGTTCTACAGTAATGTTCTATAATGTTCTACAGTAATAGGTTCAAACGATGTCTATAATGTTCTACAGTAATGTTCTATAATGTTCTACAGTAATAGGTTCAAACGATGTCTATAATGTTCTACAGTAATGTTCTATAATGTTCTACAGTAATAGGTTCAAACAAGGTCTATAATGTTGGACAGTAATGTTCTATAATGTTCTACAGTAATAGGTTCAAACGATGTCTATAATGTTCTACAGTAATGTTCTATAATGTTCTACAGTAATAGGTTCAAACGATGTCTATAATGTTCTACAGTAATGTTCTATAATGTTCTACAGTAATAGGTTCAAACGATGTCTATAATGTTCTACAGTAATGTTCTATAATGTTCTACAGTAATAGGTTCAAACAAGGTCTATAATGTTGGACAGTAATGTTCTATAATGTTCTACAGTAATAGGTTCAAACGATGTCTATAATGTTCTACAGTAATGTTCTATAATGTTCTACAGTAATAGGTTCAAACGATGTCTATAATGTTCTACAGTAATGTTCTATAATGTTCTACAGTAATAGGTTCAAACGATGTCTATAATGTTCTACAGTAATGTTCTATAATGTTCTACAGTAATAGGTTCAAACAAGGTCTATAATGTTGGACAGTAATGTTCTATAATGTTCTACAGTAATAGGTTCAAACGATGTCTATAATGTTCTACAGTAATGTTCTATAATGTTCTACAGTAATAGGTTCAAACGATGTCTATAATGTTCTACAGTAATGTTCTATAATGTTCTACAGTAATGTTCTATAATGTTCTACAGTAATAGGTTCAAACAAGGTCTATAATGTTGGACAGTAATGTTCGATAATGTTCTACAGTAATAGGTTCAAACGATGTCTATAATGTTCTACAGTAATGTTCTATAATGTTCTACAGTAATAGGTTCAAACGATGTCTATAATGTTCTACAGTAATGTTCTATAATGTTCTACAGTAATAGGTTCAAACGATGTCTATAATGTTCTACAGTAATGTTCTATAATGTTCTACAGTAATAGGTTCAAACAAGGTCTATAATGTTGGACAGTAATAGATTCAAACAAGGTCTATAATGTTCTACAGTCATAGGTTCAAACAAGGTCTATAATGTTCTACAGTAATTAATAGGTGCGAACAAGGTTTATGATGTTCTACTGTAATAGGTTCAAACAAGGTCTATATTAATGTTCTACAGTAACAGGTTCAAACAAGGTTTATTATGTTCTACTGGAATAGGTTCAAAACAAGGTCTATAATATTTTATCTATTTTATGTCTATTGCAATTTTCGATCCAGAGGCTAACCCATCATGAAAAAGGTCTATAATGTTTAATTTTTTTTTAATTCTTGTTGTCTAGTATGTTTAAATTATTATCTTTAGGATCCAATGGGGGGCTTTAGCCCCTATACTATACCCCCCCCCCCTCTTCTAGGAACCGCCACTGCAGTACGCCCAATACAGATTTATTGTTTATGATAACTAAAACTATAGCAAAGTGGTAGAATCTTCATAAATATCTGCTATGATACCTTGATAGCCGTGTAGCTGGTAGAAGACCTCTCTTTCATGATCATAGTGCCGGCCCTACTGTCCATCCAAGACCGTGAGCCGTACATTATGGTGATGGGGAGATTGTCACTGAACTGTTCTATCCTGTTGACCAGAGGGTTCTTTGCCCATCCAAGGCCAGAGTTGAGGGCATGAAAAGCACTTTCACCCCTGCAAAACGTCACAAATGTAAATTATCACTTGTGGTCAATAGTTAATTTTATTTTACACAATTATATCAGGCTAGCATAGCCACAGATTTATATATCTTATATTTATGTAGGCGTTTTTTATATTTTATGTATTTATATAGCCTATTATAAAATATAAAATATATTTTTAGATTTTTTTACCCATAAAAATTATAGCCTGTACCTTAAGTAAGACAATTATTGGTACAACCTATGAATAAAAAGGTCATAATAAAAATAACATAATAATACTCTCTGTTTATTTCTAAAATAAATAACTTATAGTGTAGTATATCTTTAAAATATTTGTTATTAATTTCATTTTTAATTTTTATTTTAACTATGCAAAATGCTAAAAAATGTGCTGGCATTTTATCGAACCCAACAGTCGGTTCCAGAGTTAAATAACCATGTAAATAAAAGGGTTGAAACACACTTACGAAGGTCTTTGTGCGTTACACTGGAAAATGTACTGTGATACAGCTTGTGTGTCTCCATCCACAGCAATCGAGAATTTGTTCAACAGATCAGGCCTCATCTTTTCCACCAGTTTTTGACCTGAAACACCATTAATTTAGGGCCCAAGAGATTCCTATTAATGATTTGTTGACAAATCAGCATTTTGTTTTTGACTCTTCTCCTGGCTACTCAGTGAGCGGAATTTGTTAAGTGACAAATAAAATGCTAAGCATCCCAAATTGTCATTGTCACACTCTGGCAGAGTTTTGGTGCTTTTAGAGTGGAAAAAAAGAGAAAACCCCCATTTTTGTAAACATAGCTTTTGTGTTTTTTTACTAAATTTTATTTGGAATTAGCTAAGCAAAATATTAGTACATCCATTACCAAGACTTATTGTTACAGAGTAGACTACTCAGATAAACAGGTTAAGTTTAGCGAATTTCCCACTTTAACATTCTAACGATTTTAAGCATGATGGTGGTAAACTATAAAATGGTAGCTTACCAAAAGGCCCCGCCACCCTTATGGCCCACAGAGGGTTGAGGGGCTCCAACGTAAACAGCAGGGCCCGGGCCCACCATGGCAGCTTAGAACGCTTGCTCTCCTCAGCGGGGGGACGGGGGGGCAGCCCCCATGGGTCTGCCAATATCAGGTGCTTAACCCTATAAATAACAAAATACTTTATATTTGTTATCAGTAATGATTACAATCACCAATTTAATAGTTAAAAATTAAATTATACAGGTACACAGAGAATTAAGAACAGACGGTAAACTTCATGGTACACTTAAGTGGTGTCTAGCACTAGTGCTCGTGTCTAGGGCAAAGTCCAACACTGCACCAGCAGCACCGCTCACCGTCATGTATTACAACGCTCACGTTGGAGGAAATATTTATAATAGTATAAGTAGTATATAATAGAAATATTATGTATAATCTATATAATTAAAATTAAAGTTTTGTCTGTACATTGCTTAGAATCATGCCGTTTTTGGTTATTTTTACGTTTCATAGCCTAAGAAAGCCGAAACAAGTCTTATCTCAATTTCTGTCTGTATGTCTGTTTGTCCATTCTGTGACTCCGTCTGTAACGCCAAAATGTCATTTTACGCGGCCTACTCCTTGAAAACTAGAGTACAGATCAAGATTCCAATTATTTTTCTGTATTCACTGGATTGGCAAGAGTGTCTTTGGCTATTAAAATATGGCCTAACTACTTTTGAAAAAATATAACGAACCATCAAAAACCCAATTTTGTTTGATTTTTGTCAAGTTTTCTCCTAATGTTTACTATTACATTTTATGAAATAACGAACAGCTGTTTGGATCAACTCTCACTTCTAGCTGTTACTGATATGTTTAATTGTTTACATTACATTTTGTTTACAAATACTGCAACATTTCCAATCACATTTTGTACGCAAATCGAAAACCATTCATTGAGGAACCAAGTACGTTAATTGACCTTTTGACTTGCATAACGGATTTAATCGATCGCAAGTACTATAATGTTAACTGTAAATTAAAGTAATCATCATCCACATCCAGGTCAAGAACCTGCAGATTCTATGTCTATAAAATTCAACTTAAGTTTTGATAACCAGGGAAAATACAGTAAATCAGGGTTGTATAAGACTGGGAAACTTAAATTTTTAAATAATCACCACTAATAGCCTACAATAAACAGCGTTTTGATCGCTGTTCTATCAAGTAAATAATTACTACAGTACTGCAGTGAGTGATCGTGGGTGTTGCTGCGACCCCGGAAGGCCTTTACGATTTTGTTGTCAACGTTACAAGTGAGATTAAAAATGTTTTTCTTACATAACGGATTTAATTAAGTGCAATATCATAGTGTAACCGTAGATGAAATTAAATAACTAGGCATCATCCAGATCAGGAACCAGAAATTCTTTGTGTATAAAATTGTTCTTGAGTTTTGATAACCAGAAAAAAGACCTTGAATCAGTGTTGTATATGGCTGGGGACAGTTAATGATCGTCGCCAAAAGCTTACAAACAAGGTTTCCACTCATTGACGGCGCTTCAATGGCGATTGTGTAAAGTGTAAAGTAAAAAAATCACAACTGCAGTGGGTGATTGTAACAGAGGTTTACGGATGATGCTAAACTCGCTTTTCCAATGTGTCACTTTCTGTACTCACCGTGTAATGCAATCGCTGGACCATACAGCAAATAGGCCCATAGCCCATCTCTTGGGTACGTGTACGCCTTCCTATTTATTCAAATAACAACCTTTTCGACAACGATCCTTGATACCAGTACTTTTCCATAGAATTTATAGCCTACCTACTTAAGAAATAAAATTACAAATGTCCAAAAACCCAACATTGTGTGATTTTTGTCACATTCAACTGACTACTATAAGATTCCCGTACGTAGATCGGGCACACAGCTAGTAGTGTATATTAGTAATTAGTATTGGGTATGTTGATATTTTTCTATTGCATTATTTTGTTTACGAATGTTGAGATTTTCAATTTTAAATAGATACAACTACTACCCGCTTACATTTCAGCCCAAGCCACACTAATAATAGTATTAAATACTATCATTAGTGTGGCTTGATCAAAAATTTTTGATCAAGATTTTGTTTGATATTTACTGGTTTATGGACTCACTGAGATTATTGCAGGTAAAGGAAGAGTTGTAACAATGAATACAGCACTATTATCATCGTTTCCTGTTATCATGGCAAAATTTTGCACATATCTTGCAATTTTCACGATATAAATCGTATGACCGCGACAAAATTAAAGTCATTTCCTAGGGATATTATCATCTTATCTTGCTTTCGTAGGAAAATGTTGAACATATCCTGCAATCACAAGAACACCACCACCCTTGCGAACAAGTATACTTGTTTGACTATATTATCCATTCTTACCTCTCAGGGTAGGCTAATGCGTACGCACCAGCCAGAAATCCACCCATACTGTGACCTAACAATATCATCTTGGGCAGTTTCATCTCCCGTCGCCATTCCTCCACTGACTGTACCAGCTGGCGCTCCACCTCCATGGCATCATTGCTGAAGTCTGGTCGAGAGCTGCGGCCGAACCCTGACACAGAATACCACCTCAAAACCTTTACACGCAAAACTTTTATTTACCTGGTTGAGGTAACAAAAAATACAGATGATAATTAAATGTTTATTGACCAATCAAAAATGGAATGAATTGGACTCATGATATCAGATCAATTCAAATATTTATTAAGTACTCAATATGTGTTATAAGTTTATGACATAAACTTTTATCAGGGAAAAGGGACAAAAAATTAAAACTGATGTATACGGTAGTGAGAATGTTTAAAATTTGTGATAGTGGTTTACAACACAACAATGAAACATGTCAATTTAAATTGAAAAAGAAAATAAATAACTTAAGAGATTGTTCTAAAAACATTATGGTTGTTGGTCATGGTCAAACTAATAGACGAGTTATCAGGTGCCGAGTTTACAGTACTTTCCTTACTACCATGTAAACCTGAAATGATAATGATCCATTGCATGTCTAAATCAACAAAAACTTCTTTGGTTATGCGAATTGTAAACTACTAAAATTGTACTATTGTAGGCCTATAAATAACTATGCAAAACATCCAAGCTAGAACAATTGTAGCTGGTCTATTTTAAGGATTGATCAATTCACATTAGATTTTTTTAACTGCATTCTAAACCCATATGTTATAATTTAGCAATCTAAAACTGGCACTTTGGTATTTATACGGAGGCCACCCAACCCCACTTTTAAGAGCCTAAATTAGAATAAATTGTATGTATTTGGTACGCAAGGATTGTTTGGCTTACCCAGCACATCAATGGCGTAGACGGGTCTGTGAACAGCAAAAGCATCCAAGTTGAGGCACCACAGCCCCACCCCAGCGCCTAGTCCATGCAGCAGCACCAATGGCATCCGTTGAGACTCCGTGTTGAGTGCAATGGTCCATATCTTGTCTGACGTTCCCACCACCGAGCCTATGTCAACGTACCACCCTCGATATGGCGTCTTTAAGTCTGTGGGACACGATTCAGTTACTTGGCTTCTAGGTAAAACCATCTGACGCTTATTTTTGACAGATGAAAAATCTCAGGTGCAGATTCAGGAATACAGTAGACTCCCTCTTATCCGGACTCCTCGGGACCGAGACCAGTCCGGATAATGGGTTTTCCGGTTAAACAGACGTCCCCAAAAATTTGTTAAAACGGACTGTTTACTGAGATATTCAACTTAAATTTAGGAGAGCATTGTATTTAGACACGTGATCACTGGTCTCAAATCTTTCCCACGAGAACAGTCGTTAAAGTACTGCCAATCTAGTCCGGTTAAACCAATGTGCTGATAAAAATTGTCCGGTTAAAGAGATGTCATTTCCGCCGAGTGTATTCCGGTTAAAAGGTGTCCGGATAAGGGGGAGTCTACTGTACAGGGATGTAGCAATGCAGTCTACAGTTCACATTTGGGACTACTTATACTTTTTTAAAGGTCTACAGAAGTTTAGAATTCATTTAGATCTTCTACATATAATATTTAACAGTCATGGCTCTTGCACAAATGTCAAGGATTAAATTAGCCTAAATATGGAGTTCATAAATCATAAGAATTAGTATTCTAATTGTACTCTAGAAATAAGTTTATTATAACTCTTTCCCTAACTAAACAAATTTTACAGTTTGTTCAACATTTGCAAAAGGAGTAATTGTCAAATTTCAAGACCCGGGAAAATAAAATGTAACACTCTTAATTACAGTTGAATTAAATTGAATAATTGTAATTTATTTAGTGGAAATAAATGGTCAATTGCAACAGTAGGTGGGAAACCCCACCCATCAAGGGACCTGCCAACTTCATGGTGTAGATCCTATAGCATATAAGCAAGGCCGGATTTAGAGAAAAAAGATCCCTAGGCTCTACTTGTGGTGGGGGACCTGGGCTTGCTGGTTTTAGGAGTATACAATTCCACATCCCCCCCCCCCCAATGAAATACCCCCGCCGCAGCAAACCTGCAGACTAAGCGAATTTCCATTAACCTGATTGGATTTACACTAAAATGCCTCCATAAAAAGAGCACATTTATTTCCTATTTAAATAGAATTAGTTTAACGAGTACTTAGGTTTGCTGCAACAGGGAGGGTAAAAAAGATTTTTTTTATAAAATGATAATAGTTAGTAAGAAATAAAAGTATTTTCCAAAATCGATCAAAATGTGTTCATAAACAAGCAAACTACAACAGTTGACTTATTCTCCATAAGAATAACATGGGAATTTCAAAATTACAATTTTTTTAATTTTCTCCGTAACAAATAGGCGCATAATAACGCTTCAATATACAAAATTATTTGTTTTTTTAAGCTCTACAAAATGATTTAAAAAGAAATTGTGAAATTTCGTGTTTTTAGGGTCAAAAATGGGAAAAACCTATTTTTACCCCATAAAACCCCCCATAAACCCCCGTTCCCATAGCCCGATCATGCTGGTTCGCGAACTCATTCAAGTTTATCCCGCCTTACACCTTCAAACCAAATTTTATCAAAATCGGACAAAAATTACTCAAGTTATCGTGCGGATGGACACATATATATATATATATATATATATATATATATATATATATATAGATATATAAAAATTTGAACGAATGGTGTTTTTGGCCTCTAGGGACATCAAAATGAAAAAGTAAATCAGTCCCGGGCTTAGGTCTTACCATGAGACCTACGGTAATAGCTACTTCCCTATAGGGAAATTCGCTAATAGTGGTCCAGAGATCTCCCCAGGAAAAATAGGAAATTAGGTACCACCTAAAACGATGGACCCACACTGAAAATAATGTAAAACTACACACCAATTCAAAACTATATTTACGATGATAAAACATGATCAGTGAAATTTTTTAGATTATAATTGTAGCGCAGGCCTCTTGGCCTATATTGTCTATGCTAAAATCCAGCCCTGCGTATATTGGGCTTTAAATAAATGATCCTGGCTAAAGTAAAAGCTGATCTTGGTCAGTAACAGAGCTGCACGGATCATCAAACTCCATTATACACTCATCATTCACTCATGTTTGAGTTAAAATATGCACCTAGGTGGTGTCCCCATCCCAATTAGTTATAATAGTAATAAGATGCAAATTTACCACTTAGGCATAAGTTTACTTTACCTTATTACCATGTCTTCATCTTTTACCCAATAAGGGATTGATGATGCAAATCCACTTTGTAATATGATGTATGTATATAAAATTAAGGCATTCGATTAAGTTCTTGCCGAAAAATTGTATAATGTATATTTTGCTTTTAGTTTTTAAGATGTTGACATGTCACCTGTTTTACCAGCTGTGCTGGGAAGAAAATGTATTGTGACAAATAAAGAATCTGAATCTGAAATCTGAATTTGATGGTGTCAGAATTTCGATCAATAGCCTATATACTGTATCACAAACCCCATGTTTAGAGATGAATTTTGTAGTTTGTTGTAGCTTTGACTATTAATACCAACAACAAGCTAGTTAATTAATATGACTTTACACCAACAATGGTCATAGTTCAATAAAATCTAACCCAAACCTTACCACAAATAATGTAGCAATCCAAAAGATAAACATACCGGTAATTTAGAAATGTTTGTTTAAATAAAGAGTTGACTAATTCAAACAAAACTATAGCTTACAAGAGAGAAGTTTCTTCTCTGCAACTCGAAGAACATTGGCAGACATTGGACACCACCAACTCCAACACCAACTGAGGATACTAAAAAAATAATTATTTATTAACAGCTGATAAAAGGCCTATGCAAAGATAATGAGGTTATAGAAATGTGTATACACAGAAACATCATATACCACTTTTTAAATCCTTTGACTGAACCGTTGGGTTCTAATTGAACTAGTGTCAAAACTAATATATATGCCTGATATTAACAGTAAACTTTCAATTAGGCCTACAGTTAGTTCCTAACCTAGGTAAATTTTGAATTATTTTGTTTCTACTATTAAGTTATAAGATGCTTAACAAAATATTTAATTTGTTTAGACACAAAGTTATTCCGAAATTCAATTCTACCACTAGAACTTTGTTCAGCAAAGAAGCTTTGAGAAACATTGGAATGTCAGTAGTCCTATCAGGGACTGGTGATTTGGTTGTGCAAAATTTTGAACTTTCGAGGAACAATAAAAGAACTTGGGATAGATCCAGAACAAATCACATGGCAATATCTGGATTAACAACAGGTTTTGTTTGTCATCACTGGTACAAAATTTTAGACAAGAAGTTGCCAGGAAGAACTCCGTCGGTCATTGTTAAAAAGGTAATCGCTGATCAACTCATTTGTTCTCCAATATGTATAACAGTATTTTTTATGACAATCGGATATTTAGAAAACTGTTGCTGGAAGCAATTGAAGAGAGAAATTGTGAACAAAGGTATAAAACTATACATCTTTGAATGCATTACCTGGCCTCCTTTACAAGTAATAAATTTTTATTTTGTACCAGGCAGACATAGAATGTTATATGATAATACAGTATCATTTTTTCATGATATATATTCTTCATTTATCAAGTATGAGGAAGAGGAAGATGATATATGCCCAGAGGACTGTGCAGACAATAAGTGAAACAATAGAAATCATGATTCTTGCATTTCATTGACTTAAATTTTGTACTAGGCTATAGTCTCTTAGTCAATTCTAGAGCTGACTTTTGAATGTTTATGACTTTAAACTAACAATATTAAGTTACTAAAACTACGGAACTAGGTAACAAGACCTGAAATCATAGACATCATTCTATATCTCACTTAATTTATTCATATTAGATGCACCTAAATGCTAATAAAAATTGTGATTTTACTTAAAGAGGTTTTAGTGGGTTTTCTTTAGCCTAACTATCAATAAGTTAACATTCATTTCCAATTTAGTGCTACAGCTACCGGTTTAGCATTAATGCCATCATTCTATTCATAGAATTAGAGAGCGAAGCTAATTAATAAACAATTTTTGGGATTTTATATAGTTGAAAATCCTATTTTAATGTTGAAATTGACAACATGGCAATCATTACCTCAGCACTAGGCTATGTATAAACAGTTGATTGTAGCTTCTTATCGCAAGAAAAAATAACCAACTATGTTAGGCCAAGGCCAAACTTGGTTTATCCAGATTTTTTCAAGATTTTAAATGTCATTTTACATATATATATATATATATATATTGATATAAAACCTAAACCTAACTTACACTGTGAAAAATTACATAGGGCTAAGTCCAAAGATATAGATAGGCCTAGGCTATTTAGGTTTACCAACCTTTGCCGTTGAATGATTATGTCACTGTCCTCAGCAGCCATAGCTCACCGTACACTTAAAACACCAAATCTTAACTAAAATGGTACAAGATCTACAATATCAGTTAGTTAAGTAACACTATGAGCCTAATTTGGTCTACTTTGTAGTCAGTTGCTAGAATGATATAGAAGACTCCAACCTGTTTACATAATTGAAGACACTCGATAAACTCCTTGGCATGTCTCACTGTCTGTCAAACTAATAAACAGATAAATGCCGTGTAAAATCGACCCTGAATAAATGACAAGTCATTGCTAAACTCAGAACTAACCTTGAACTCGCCAAGTGACATAATCTTCCTCAAGAAAACAAACAAACAAAAGCATAGCAGACAGGGCAGTAGTGTTGAGATAACAGCTGATGAATTGTACATCGAAAACAGCCGATATTGAAAGAGCATCTGGTAGAATGGTGGTGAATAGATTACTGTAATACTATATAAAATACACATATCTATAAGTGTTTATATTACTATCCTCTCTTCTCACCGTATTTTCCCTTTTATGATTTGCATAAATAATTGTATCATTAAGTATACACATTTTTTGTAACTAAAACACAAAGTACTGAGGCACGAAAATTGTTTCACTTTAGGGACGTTGTTGTTAGGGAATTTTTCTTGAATTAAACATTATGCAAGTTTATTTTTCACTAAAGTTTTATTTATAACCCGGGAACCAAAATAAAGCTAGCCCTATCATTTAAAGTCAACCAATTATAAGATGTACCGGTTTAACATTAAAAGTATATCTTTATACTTACATATTTAGTATGAGAGCATACAGTGGCAACATTATCCTCAGCATCAGCCTCATTGGATAGATCATCAGTGCCAAGACCCTTACAAGAATATGAGCTGCCATTCTGCAATTAATTATATTTAATTAATAATGTAAAAATACGTAAGTTATATAAATAGAAAGGTCTGCTTAAACCGATTACATATAAAAGCAGATAAAACATACTTGAGGAGTGTTTTATCTATGATAAAAGCATAAATTAGGGCAATTATAGTCACTGAATGTAAATACTGCATATCAAACGTGCTTACTTTCTTTGAATTCCATGGTTTCCAACCAATCCAAAATATTATATTCAAATGAAACTAGGTGTACCTCACCTGTGCAACTGACTTAGCACGCATTAACAATTTTAATTTTTCCCGTTCCCATACAAAACGGTGGTATACGGAGGTTGGAGACCACTTATTTTACAGTGCGCTGCGGCGGTTATGTTTAGGTAGGAATATCATAAATATGTTTGTAGGATTTTCCAAGTTTCGTTATGAATCAAACGTCTTTAAACTTAATAACATATAACGCTAATCAAGAAGTTATTTACTACTGTATGGATAGTTCATACAAAATTGGTTTGAAATAAATAAGTGTATTATTAATTTCCTTTAAATTTCCTTTTGAATTTATCATGCCGTCTCAGCCGATAAAATTTCATAAGTTTAGAAATAAAACCAAAGATAAAACAATCCCTTAGACATACTAGTGTTGGTTGGTCTATATAATAAAACGTCGTAATAGCATAGACTCAACCAAACTTAAGTTTAATCTATTAGGTATACTGATTCTTATCTTTTAAAACCAAACAAATTCTTCTGTAACTTCAAATTATTCTCCCTCATTTGTGTTAAAATACGCCCATATCAGATTATATTTTAAAAGACGCAAGTTTTGGGGGTTCATATCTAACACTACATTTACAAACTTATTCCAAATTAAATCAGTCAAAGAAGTTATTTCTGACCAATGCGACCATGGTAGAAATGAAAAGCATGAAGATCCCCGAGAAGAGTTAAAAATATTAATATCCATAATTATTGCCATATCTCTTTATCATTATTAATACCATAAACTTTATGGTATTAATAATGATACATCTTTAATACCTTATGATACCTTAATACCTTAATTGGTATAATATTGTAGCATCTTTTAGCTTCGTGGTATAAGGAATGCACGGTTTTTATTACCAGGAATTAAGACATATTTTACTGACATTTAATTTTCTTAAAGAGTACTCACACGGATTATTTTCTATTACATGATTATAGGGACAAAAAATAATCAGTCATTTATTCACGTTTATAAAAGTGAGTCAATCGTACCGGTACGTTTTTTTTATATTTAAACAGCTGTGTACTGTATTTTAGTAGTTGAATCAGTAATCAACGTACAATATCGGCTACATTATAATCAATCCAAATCTCAATAAAAGACTAGTGTTTGATTATCTTTTTTTATAAAAATAAAAAATGCATGGGATAGCAAATAAAAGTTGCCTTCCAATCCTTACAAATATAAATGTCATCTCAGTTACTCACCCAATCGTCATACAGGAAAAACCCCACTCATAAAAGAGCAAAGTCAAATTGGAGTTAACCTAATATTGTTGATATCCGAATCAAACACAACCAAAATGTTCAGAAACTCGTTGAAAATTGCACCTGATCAAATTGGGAGTGCAATTGTACGGGACACACATGTTGTCAAGTGATTGAGGTTATCTTTAGGTTTTGGATCTGGAAATGTAGATTGAGCTGGTGGGAGTGAGATGGAAACTGTACGGGGTTTTCTTATCAGCAAGGCTTTTATCACAAACAAAGTAGTCTGAATAGCCAAAGCTTGACCTTTGGGCTTCAGATTTGGAGTTCTCACGGACTATGACGCACACTTGCGCTTTCTGACGTCCTAATCAGCCATTGTTTGCCGCAGTAGCAAAGCAGCTATTTACAGTTACTCCAGATCTAATTTTTCTTGTAAATGTAATAGTATTTGTTGAATTTAGAATGGGAAAAGTATTGTGTTTTACTATCGTAGCCAGGAGGAAATAAGGTTTAGGGCTCTAACTTCTTGATTTTGTAATCATTTACCATTAAGGCCTCTATTTCTTTTTATGCAAACATGTTTTCGTTTTAATCAAATTTTGAAGGTTTGTTTGCTCAATTTAAATGCTATAGTGCGATTGCTTTTTACTATGTTTTCTTTTAATGGAAATAAACTAATTTGTTTGTTAATTTATTAATTTATCAATTTATTTATTAATTTGCTTGTTATATTATTATTCGCTAATCATTATTATTATTATTATTATTATTCGCTAAAACTTTTGCAAAACTTATGACAGCTATAGCCTCTCTGATCATACTACACTGGACCGAATTACACGCGGGTTGTACCAAAAGAAAGAATTATATCGGAGTGCAGGTTTTATTTGTATTTTGAAAATATTTATGTTAAATTGGTCAACAATGGAAATTAAACTTATATGGAAATTTAACATGGACCACATTTTTAAGCTTAAGACAGCCCACCCTGGCCATACTACTGGACCGATTTACACGCGGGTTTGTACAAAAAGAAAAGTTATTGGTCCTATATGTGCAGGTTTATTTGTATTTTGAGAATATCTACGTCAATCAGGTCAAAAATGGAAATTCAACTTGTCTGATGGAGATTTAACACGTGGCTAATTCTATATTAATAGAGAAGCGTGTTTAGTGAAAATCTTTTTTCTGAGCTCCTGTGCATCACAAAGAAAATCTACGCACACTGTTAGTTGCATGTAGATGTGCAGAATCCCTTTATAAATTAAATTAAGCAAAAAAATAAGCACAAAAAATGAATTTAAAATTTTAGAAGAATTAACATGGACCTTATGGGTTTGCCATATTGGTGATGAAATAACAACAAAATATTAACAGAAAATCAAAACAAATGGAAGAAATTCCAATAACATGTTTTATTTACAGCGGGTGGGGTGAAAATAGAGAACTTTGCACAATACTTGGTCGAGTTTTCAACCGCAGGGCGAGCTCTAGTTAGACCATGGTTAGACTATACATTCGCTGGATTGGGTAAGCCTCCTGTTGCAGTACCTGAATACAGACACAACACGTTAGGACCCAGTTGTACGATACGTCGTCATCGTACTGTACGTTTTGGGGTCAGGGATGGGGCGTTGTAATAAATACACTTGTTACATTTTAAAAGGGCTCAGAGGGCCGCAAAGGGTATACGGTGTTGACGGGACTAATACATGGTGTGGACTGACGTGAGGAGAGGGGATTTAGGCTTGTTCGGAAAGGTGGTGTGATGGTGGCGTGATGTGACGTCACGGGAAATAGCCATGAGCTGCTTTATTAGAAATATCGCCTGATTTTGCATATTGCCAACCTAAACAGAAATTGTGGTTACATGATGGTATGAGTATCAAACTATTGTAACATTATTGTACAAATTATCAGAATATGGTACAATCCTCCCCTCTTAAGTTTTGTGATGCTATCGGTTACTATAATCTTGAAAACTTACAATCACAAATAACAATACCAGAATATCTTATTAATTTATTATTATTTTTGTTTGCCAATCATTTAAATGAGAATGAGAATCAATCAATCATCAGTTCTAAATATATATAGGTATATATGGTCAAAATATTGAGATAATATCACACATTAAAAACACAAGTAAATGAAACACACACTTGAAATCATAAACCTTAATAACATTAAACATTGAACCTTGATGATATTAAATATTGATAACAAAAGTAAGGGTACACACAATTCAATTAATAAACATTTGAAAATCATTGATAAGGATATATAATAAATAAATTTATATACAAGTCATGTCCGGGTATTCAATTAAAGGTCTAATCTTATTACAGGTTTGCGCTCCCGTACAGGAAAGCGTCTAGTAGGCGTCTGTCTGTTTACATTTGGCGATTTGTTTACATTTGGAGGCGAAGCCAATGACCCCGCTCCCTCAATGTTTTGGTTTGCGTCAGGTGACCTAGTCAATATCGGAGTTTTCTGCCCGACTGTGCCCGGAAGAGCTCGCATACCTTCGCTACTGTTCCCTGTCAGTGTGTGGTCTGGCGAATTTTGCAATGTTGCCGATTGTCTGTCTGGAAGCGACGTTGTCAGATCGTTTTTGGGAAATTCTACTACTAAATCTGACTGCTGCCCTAGCTTAGACTGTAAAGCTATCAACTGGTCTATGTGACGCTTCCACTGAACGCCTGATTCTAGTTCAACTAAATAAGTTACAGGACCCAGTTTTTCAATAACTGTAGCCTCTATCCATCTTTCCCTTCCCCTGTAATCTTTAGCTAACACAGGTTGATTAACAAATAATCTACGAGTTGTGACACCACCATAAGCTGAAACTTGTCTGTTTTGATTACTACTAATGACATCCTTCACATTAGGTCTAATTAAGTCTAACCTT